CTTTGGCTGCGGCATCGCCGCCCGGCCCTCGGCTCCGTTACCCGGAACACGATGGGCAGCGAGTTTCTGGGGCAGCAGATGATGGCACGGGGCTGACACCATCCCACCTACCACCAGCCCCTCCAGCAGGAGAGGACCTCTCTGCTGCTCAGAGACCAATTTTCCCCTTGCTGGAAAAAATGCCAGGCTTCTTGTAGGACCTACCGAGACTTCCATTATTCCCAAAGGAAGAAAGTTGAGGGTCATTAAGTTTTTTTTGCTGTTTGATTTTTTTTTTTATTTTTTTATATATATATATGTATATACACACACACAAATACACGCCAAAACATCTGCAGAATTACATGTTTACAGGATTGATCACAGGGCAGCCAGACGTCATGTTTGCATTTGCTGGCTTATCTTTTTGTAGCAGGAGGAGAAAGATAAAACTCCCCAGGAAGGAGGCTGAAAAGACAAGTGACTTGCCTTCCCAAAACATTCGTTCTTCTCAAAGTCAGAGAAACCAAAAGGGCAGATGTCAACCGTGCACACAGGGAGAAGTCTGCTTTTAATGAGGTTATTAAAAAAAAAGGGGGGGGAGTGTTCTTTGTTTCATCTGTACAGGAATATAATACACATATGCACAAGCTCACACAGGCAGGGCACCGCCGAGACCGTCTCTGCCCCGGTCGGATACGGAGCGAGCGCGGTCCCGGCCCCCTCCCGCCGTCGGTGCCGCTCCAAGCACGTGCTTTGGCTGCACGAGGCTGAAGCGTTAGGCACTGTGGTTCGCCTTTTCCCCAAAGGAAAAACAGACCAAACCCCCCAAAAAACACACACACACACAAAAAAAAAAATCATCCTTTCTCCCCAAACCTCTCTGCTCCCACCTGTAGGGATGTTGTTTCCTACCCAGGAGGCTCGGGGAAAGCCATGGGAAGGATGAAACCAAAGGGCTGCCCATCTCCAATCCCCCAGCCCAGCGCTGCAGGAGGGCTTGGCTGCCTTCACCTCCTGCCTCCAGCTCAGCCGCGCAGGCAAAGAGCACGAGATGGGCACGGAGAAGATGCTGCACATCGGAGTGGGGAAAAAAAAAAAAAAAAAAAAAAGAAAAAAGAAACAACCCAAAATCCTTAAAAAAAAAATTTCAAAATCCACAGACTTTTGCACAAAGCAATAGTGGTTAATTGCCATTTTTAACCACTGTCTCACAGCCCGGGACAGGCTGCCAAGGGATCTCGCATATCAAACCACTGGGAGTTGGCTGATGGAGTCTAAGTCAGGACCTTGTCCCATTTTTTACACACACACACACGCCCCCACCTTGAATGCCCTAACTACTATTTTTTTGTAGTCCCAGCTTTCCAGCATGCAAAATCAAATCTAAAAAAAAAAATTGCCTGTGTTCAGGCTTCCCCTATTAAGGGGCACGACTTGAAAAAAATAAAATAGTTACGCTCCTGCCACAAATAAAGTGCAAAAACCAAGCGGTTTCTAGGTATACACATATACACACACACACACGTGTGCATGTATATATATTAAAAAAACAAAACACAACACAAAATAACAGATAAAACTGTCCCTTCTTGTGGCTTTTTGCAGCCACACAGGGACTCCTGCATCCCGGCCAGACCTCCGGCCACCTCCGCAAGACCTGTGTGTCTGCAAAATGCACCTAGCTCAGCCTGTTCACCTGCCAAGTCCTGCGATGACACAGGGATTCAACACCCCACCCCACCCTCCAAAATCTCCTCTCTCCTCCAAGGAAGAGGAAAGGGGAGATGAAGTACCAGCTTAGCACCTCAACTGGTGCTCAGTCTCCCCAAAAATCAACACACACGTGAACTCAGAGCATCCCCGGGTGCTCCCCAAGATGAAAGCACCACCCGAGCCACCATCGGTGTGGCCCCCCCTACACCACAGGCAGCTCACGACCAGTTTTAGAAGCAGATCTACATTCTCTGCAGACCCTTTTAAGGTGTATCGATTCAAAAAAAGAAGAAAAAAAAAGCATATGTTTTGGGGGTTGGTTCTTTTTTTTTGGTTAAACCCAGCAGTTCTCGGTGTGAAGGACTTCACACAACTGCCTTCCTGGTGCTCGCGGGCCTGGGTGAGCCAGGCTGTGCGTGTGCGACAGGCTGTAGCGTGGGTAAAGGACTGCAGCACAGCATTTTAGGGGCTTTCTTGGAAAGTAATTAATAATAATAATAAAAAAAAAATTAAAAACCCCTTCCCTCCCCCCCCCCTTCCCCTTATTTCTCTGCTAACCCCGCACCATCCACATATATACACCCCACCCAGAGACGGATGGGTACCAATCGTCTATACAAAAGGAGATCAAAACTGCTTACAGGGGAAAATTAAACTCCTGTGCGCTAGAAGCACTTTACAGCTTGCTACGATCTAACAGGACGCCGGAGAGGAGAGCAAATGCTGCAGCCCAAAGATCTGGTGGCGACCCCAGGGAGCTCGGCTCCTCTCCTCCGCTCTCCTGCACCTCTCCCCCCTTCAGCAGAGCGGTTTGCAAATGAACGGGCGTGGGTAGAAACAGCCGAGGGTCGACCTCGCCGCAGACGGAGGAGACCGGTTTATAAGCAAGCTTCGGAAATGGCGATGGGATGGGAAGCTGGCGTTGACGGTGGCGTCGCTGGTGGCCTCGCGACCGCGCCAACGGAGTCACGACGGCTTCTGCGAGTTGTTCATGTTCTGCAACGAGAGGGGAAGGACCGGGGTTGGGGGTCGTGCTAGACCCCATCCCGGCAGCATCTTCTACACACAACATCAAGAAGGGGACGGGGGAAAGTAACAGAAGGCCACGGCACGGGTCACTACGAAAGCATCCACCACAGAGGAGAGGACACTGCCCACCCAAGGAGAGAGATGCACGGGGGATGCGCTGACTTGCCACCCACACCCCTCCCTCCAAGCATCACCTGGCTTTAACTACAGGGTGGGAATTTGACAGAGATATCCCTAAAAACTGAGCTAAAAACCAAGGCAGCCCTCCCACCTCACCCGATCTGCACTTCTGAAGCTGCTCTTTGGTCCGTGCGAGGCAAGGTGACAGGGGATCACGGTGTTCATTCAAGGAGCCAAATTAAACACCTCTCTCTTGCTCCCCTTGAGGGCGGGCAGTGTCCCCCCCCTGCCTACCAAGGAGGTCACTGTTTGTCCATCCTTGGCGCTGCCGAGAAGATGCAGCTCCTGCCAGCCACGCCAAGGGGCCGGCATGGGGACCAGCTGCCGGCAGCAGTATGGCAGGAGCACCCGCTCCCCCAGTGATGCCCCGTGAGGTTTCACGGACCCCAGAGCTGCTTCGGACACAGGCCTGGTGCAGGGTGGCAACAACGGGCACCCACCAGCACGCGGCAAGGACCACAAAACCAGAGACAACCAGCTAAACACAAGCAGGACCAGCCCCGAGGGCGGTGGCTGGAGGAGAGCATCCGCTAGAGGAGAAACCCAAGGGGAGATGATCACAAGGACATGTCCCAGTTCACAAAACTACACAGAACAGGGTGGGGGAAAAAGGGACTAGGAAACAGCTAGGAAGGTTTCTCAGCTTTTTTTTTTTTTTCCTTTTACTACCTAAACTGCCTCTTACAAGCGCCAGGAATCTTGGCCAGGCTATGAGGCAGAGCGGGCTGAGCTGTTCTCTCTGTTATCTAAGGAGACAGGAGGAGGGTTAGGAAAAGCCACATGCACCACAGCCATTTACCTTGGAAATATTAGTAAAGAGAAAACTTTGAGAAAGTGACAAACGGGTCGTCTTTAAGCATGAAAAGTGAAGGGGAGAAGAAGGGAGGGGATCAGGTCGTTGTTAAAAAGTGCACTTTGGATCACAAACCAAGCAAAAGGAAAAGAAATCATCACGCCAGGTAGTCCCGTGACCCCAAACTGGCTCAATCCCACAGTCAGGAGGACTCTGAGCTACACAGCCATGTCCCCAGCCCCTCCAGGTGTCCCCTGCTCCTCCTGGATGGGGGTCAAGACCCCAACAGTGAGGGCTGATGCAACAAAGCGCCCACTGCCAACCAAGTCCCATGGTGCAAATTGGGAAGGAGGTACCTTCCACCTCCCCTGACCCCATATGGGTTGTGGTGGGACACAGTGAGGACCGGACGCGTGCACGTATGAGGCAACAGCCTCCAAGAGAGGTACTGACACCAAGTCTTTGGTTTGGGGAGTCTTCTTCGCTCCCTCAAAAGCGGCCTTTAAGTCCCACACTAGTAGGCGGAGGCAGGCTCCCAGCAGCTGGAGGTTTTAAACATGCTGCTGCCAGCCTACAGCTGGGATGGGTACCATCACCGCCTGCTCCAGCAGAGCTCCTGGTCTAACAAAATCTGATGCAGCCATCTCCCCAACTCAACATCGGAGCGTGCTTTCAGTATCCCAGCCAGCACTGAGGCATGCAGTGCTTTTCATTACAACATGGATGGGAAAAAAAGGTGGATGGAGGCACGGACAAAGAAACAAAAATGCTTTCAAAGCAACCCAAGACGACCAGGCACTTCATCAGGGGCTTTTTGTGCCCATGAGCAGCAAGGGAAGGAGCACAGACATGCAGGCCATGCTGAGCAACTCAATCTCTACATTCGCCCAGGAGCATGAGCGTGATTGATCTTCCTCAACCCATCCACCAGCAAAGCCAAGTGTGACCTTCCGAACTTCCCTTTACTAAAAAAGGTTTACTCTAAAAGGGGAAGAAACGTGAGGTTCACCAGCTGTTACGTGCAAGCAGGGCTGAGGCCTGGCCATGTTATAGCAGATTCCTCCATCTTCAGCCCACAAAATGAACCAGGACAGGGATGCACGTAGGCTGATTCAAGCTGGTCTATAGGGGGGAAAAAAGACCCCTGGGCACTACCCCAGCCTCAGCTCAGCCCCAAACTCTCCCTGGTCTTTGAGAAGACATTTAAGCACAGCTTCCGACAACTGCTGCTCTCAACTCAAATGATGTTACCATGAATTAAGTCCAAAGGCTTCAAATTTATCCAGAAGCTGTCCCGTCCCTATTACACAAGGATCTAACAGCACTGAGCCAAACTGACGAAGCCTTGATTATTCGTAATTAGTGCATTAAATGCTCAAGGCATCTTGCTTTCTTAGTAGAGCTAGAGGACAATATCCTTGCACCTACTCTACCCAAGACATCTAGGCAGACTGTTCCCAAAATCCAGGTTTGCAGAACTGCAGATGCCGGGACCCAGGATCAGTCCAGCTCCAGAAAACACACTCCTGCTCCCACGCAGGCTATAAAACCCTGCTTGGGGCTGAGGTCAGAACCTTCTCAGAGATCAGTCTGGTGCCATCACTCATAGACACAACTCGGAGGCCCTGGGAAGGACAGACCACCTGGGTCTATCACCTACAGTACAACGTGCTATCGCAGAGGAGATAACCCCAGGAAAACTCAACATCATCTCCCATCCCATGACTGTCCAAGGAGGAGGCAGGGAATTTAGACGTCATCAATAGAGGGAAAGTGATAATTTGCTTCATTTCTCAACAAAATTGGGACATTTAATCAAGCTAGGATACTTTCCTAAGACGCATCCAAATCCCCCACACACAGAGAAATATTAACTCCAAGAAGTCCACGCCCCAGCCGGGTTTCACAGCAACAACAAGACAACCAGTGGGATGGCAAGAGACATGGAAAGGAGGCAAAAGGGGGAATAAGACGCAAGAAGGTACTTACAGGCATGCCTTCCCTAGTAAAGGCTGCAGAGAGACAGAGAGAATGGAAAGAGGTGTCAGTAACGCCGCGCGAGACCAGGCAGAGGACACCGGACAGCAGCGAGGGGCACCTGAACAGCGAGAGCTTCCAAACCTGAAGCCGTCGGAGGGTTTGTTGCAAGACTCAACCAGCCCAAGCAGAGCCCCGAAAGCCGAGAGACAGACCGAGTTGCCCTGCTCGGTGCTTGCCGGGGTGGGAAGGCTGATGTGAAGCGGCCACCAAGCAGAGCGGTTGGAGGAGCACGGCACCCTTCCTAATCTGCCCGGAATCTGGCCGATGAGGGGCGAGAGGACACCGGACAACACAGACAACGCAAAGAGGGGGTGGGTGAGACAGCGAGATCCAACAAGCAGCTGGTGGGAAGGGCAGCATGGCAAAGGGGCTCCTATGCTGCTTCTCTGGTACCACCCCACCTCCTTAACGAGCACAGAGCGGGGTTTTGTTCCTGGAGAAGCGTGCAGCAAGGTCTGTCCTTCTACATCCCTTCACGGGTGGGTGAAAGAGGAGAGGACACATGAGCATCACGGCAGCTACCCACAGGGTTTCACCCAGGGCTGCAGAAGGCAACCAGGTTCACCATGCCAAGAGGCTGCTACTCATTTTTCGTCTGTTTTGCCTATTGCTCCGGGAAGGAGGAGACCCCTCAAGTCAAAGATGGGTCCTGGCAGCTCCTTCTCGAGGGCAGCGCAAGAATATTTGCTTTATTGCAATGTCTAGGTCTACGCCAGAGCTGAGTGCATCCAGGGGGAAGGCACGAGCCCTTCAGTCCTGCCCACTCTGGAGATGCGGCTCCCCAGGGGTTTGACACCATGATGCCAGATGGTGAAGGCACTAAATTAACGCAGCTAGAGCTTTGGAGGGTTTACAATGCTCTCAAAACCCAAGAGAGGATCAACAGCGACCCTTCGCCGGGTGCTCCCGAAACCAACCCAACGCAGGGAGGGACAGCAGCCACGGGAGAAAGATGTATCTCAGAGACAGCAGCACAGGTCGCAACAAGTGCAAGCCATTCACCAGCTTCAGGAGCGACAGGAGGAGGACAACAAACAATAAAACAACGAGAATAACAACAACAGAAAAAAAAAAAAAGGAAAAAAGGAAAAAAAAAAGAGAGTTCAACTAACTTGTCCCGGCAGCTGCGTGGGCACTTCCTGAGGAACACAGCCTGGCAGGGCGGAAGAAACAGCCACATGCTCCTCAAAGCTGTTGATGCGAGGTTTTTTGGTGGGCTCTGGGCTTGCTAGAGGGGTAACGCTATTACGTCTCATGAGCGGGTTAGGTCCCTTCTTTGCTTCCTAAATTAGAGTGAGACAAAGAAAAAAAAAGGTAAATAAAAAATAAAATAAAATAAAAAAAGGGAAGAAGGCGACAGTTATAAAGGAAAAAAAAGAAGCAGGTTGTTTTGATTTTTTGGGTTTGGTTTGGTTTTTTTTCTTCTCTTAAACAGCCTCTGCTTTTCCCCACAATCGCTGTCAACATGCAAAGGATGCACTGAAAGGTCTGGACACAGGAAAAAAAAAAACCCTAACGCAAAATGTTCAAGAACGCAATGTCATTTCCCAAAAAGGGGAGGGGAAAAAAACCAAAAAGGCCCTGCACTCAGAAACGAGACAGACTTTCTCCTCACCTGAGCCTCTGCTCACAAAAAAGTAAATATAGATGGATAAAAAAAAAAAACCTAGCGGTAATCAAAAGCCATGACTTTGCACGACAGAAAGAGGCACCCATCAGTCTCCTCCTCAAAGCCGGACCCTCCGGCCCAGGGAGGGGTGTGAAAGCAAGAAGAGGGAAGACGAGCCAGCCCGGGCTGATAAGGAAGATCTGGGAAGTGGGGGCAGAGCAGCCAGCGAGGGTCGGCACCGCGCCAAGCTCCAACTCAAGCGAGGTGGGACGGAGGGGCAGCGCCCGCGTAGCCGAGCGGAGGGACCCAAGCGCTTCACGCGCGTCTCGCTCTATATCCCACCCGCAGCCCACGGCTCTCCTGCCATCCCCAGCAAGGGTGGTGGAGGAAGGCATCGATGGCCCCCACAGCAGGGGGAAGTACTGGCTTCCCCACCTACGGCCGTGGGGAGGGAAAGGCAGCTCAGATGCTGCCACCCGCTGAGGTTGGGAAGCAAAGGAAGGGAGACGTGGGCCAAAAGGGGACGGCTCTGATCATCCAGCCAGGCTCCATCACCACTACACACAAGTTGGAAAGGCCTCAGTGACTGGGACACCGGCACTGCCAGGGTCCCTGGGGTCCGCCTTGGGTGGCTGCCCAGCCCCAACACCGAGCTGGCATCCCCCTGCTCTGGCCTCCGAGCTCCCGGTGGAGCATGGGGCAGATAGACCTGACCTTACAGGGCTTTTCCTCCATGCGAGGAGTGTCCTCCCCGCAGCATCCCCAGCCCAGCGCCGCCACCTCCCACCCTAGAGAACGGCACTCTGGTAGAATGTGCTGGGTTTGGCCAGAGTAGAGTTAATTTTCTTCACAGTAGCTAGTATAGGGCTGGGTTTTGGATTTGTGCTGGAAACACGGTTGATAACACAGGGATGTTTTCGTTACTGCTGAGCAGTGCTGACACACAGTCAAGGCCTTGTCTGCCTCTCACCCCACCCCACCAGCGAGCAGGCTGGGGGTGCACAAGAAGCTGGGGGGGGACACAGCCGGGACAGCTGACCCCAACTGACCCAAGGGATATTCCACACCACAGGACGTCATGCTCAGCAATAAAACTGGGGGAAGAAGGAGGAAGGGGGGGACGTTCAGAGCGATGGCGTTTGTCTTCCCAAGTCACCGTTAGGCGTG